TTCTGAGGCTCTAAGCCTTACCTAAACTGGGGCCTTTTCTTTTGGCAAAAAAGTACCGTATTTTCCGCACCATAACCAGCACTGCATTATAAGGCGCACCGTTAATCAGTGGTCTATTTTCAAACTTTTTCCACACACAAGGCGCACCGGACTTTAAGGCGCTTTAAGCAAAACAAAACAGTCAGATAAGCCAGTCAACGAAAATTAGTTTTACATTACATGTTCACAATGACTGTCAACATTGTTCAAACGTTTATGAGCGTCTTCACTACTCTTTAACACGTAAAAAAACAAGAGTCTTATACCGCTAAATCAAAAGTCAGCCTATTAACAATAACTCAAAATTGAACACTTATAATATGGTCCTATACCGCTAAATCAAAAGTCAGCGTATTCATAATAACTCTTGAAATTGTTAATTTATAACACGTGAAGCACTACACAATACACTCACTTTTCAATACTAAAACATTCAAATCGCTTCGAGTTCAGTATGCACAACAGAAATTAATCCACGTTTAAAGCGCACTGGATTATAAGGCGCACTGTTATTTTTTAAGAAAATCAAAGGCTTTTTAGTGCGCCTTATAGTGCGGAAAATACGGTAGTAGCAAATAAGCTGGCTCTTACTGGCTTACCATCAACGGTTCCTCCAAGTAATATGGCTTTGCCTGAGTTCGAGCTCATCTTGGGAGGAGGAGTGAGACAGGCTAGGCCCTAGCAATCAGCCAGACACAGGAAACTCACTGTTCACATGCACTGAGAAGAAACTGGAGTAGCTGCAGGAAACTGGAGTTGCTGGAGGAAACCCACAGAAATGTGAGGGGCGTGAACTCCTCGAGCACGCCACTGAATTAGAACCCATAACAGTGGCTAACAGTGCTAGCCACCTAGCAACTCAGCCTGGAGACAGCCAAGATTAAGCGACTTCTGAGGCATTTATGACATCAGCATCTCAGATATGGGTTTGTAAGTGTCCCACCTGCAGCCAGCATGTCCGTCAGTCCCCAAGGTTTTATTTTCAGCATCTTGTTAACAGGTCATTTGCCCTGCTTGTCATCCTCCAGGTGTGTGCTTGGGGAGGGATGAGATCAAAACTGATTCTTCAGCCAAAAGAAACCGCTCTCTCTTCATCTCTCCCTTGCTTTAGTGCCCTCTGAACATTTTTGGCAAGCCCCCATGTGTTGAGTCGTTGCCATGGAGACAGCAGGTCGTCACGGCTCCCTTTCATTTCTCCCCTGTCGGTTGCTGAAGGGCTGAAGTTCAGCTCCTCTCCACGAACAGGTAGTCTGGACTCTGCCAGGTAGACTGCCATCAGTCTGGTGGTGTATCTCTCTAAGAATAGATAGAATAGAATAGTTGATATAATAGATAGAATAGAATAGTTGTTTTCATGTACGTGTGTCTGGGTTCTTAATGTTGAGTATTCACGTATTTCCATATTAAAGATATGGAACAGATTTCCGAATTAGAACATAAAATAGTCTAAACGGAAATGGCCTTCAGCAGAAACCCAACAAATTCCTAAATGTCATCCTGGACTTCTGGATTTGGCTAATGGTTAAAGGGCTTTGTTTGCTTCCCCCCACATTGACCATGCCCCTAGGAACCCAGGAGCTACATGAGCCTAATGAGGAGCATGGTCCTTGAGTTAATCCTTATATGGCTGGGTCACGTGACGTGAGATCATGACATGACATCTGCATGTAGCGGCAGTGTTTACACCCGCTTGAATTACGCATTTGTGTGGCCCCCGAACTGTCACTGCATACTACTTATATTATACTAATATTAAATAAATATGTTCCTAATTTATGAGATATTGAGACAGCTTGTTCTGCTAACCAGGTAGCTAAGTACAATGTTCTGACTCTACTTACTAGCTATTTATTTAGTTTTTGAAAACATCTGAAGGGGAGTGGGGTCCCTGAAGTGACTTTTTGAGTGTGGCCCCAGACACAACAAGGGCGGCCCTGTTTATATGGTTCATAAGGCAGAAACACCCGCATGTTCAGTGTGAGATCTTACAAGGAAAAAAATGCTGGTTTCACGTGAGAAAATCATTTATCACTCGCAGCACTTCTTACTTCTTGGGAGGAGGGGTTGCTGGTACCACCAGGAAAGAGTCGAGGGTGACGGTGGCTAATGAAAACCAGTGAGCCTGCTTAGCATTCCAGAGCGGTGCAAGAGGGGGGCCCATGCTGGGGGGGGCTGTGATGGGCTGGCTCAGGGGGAACAAAGGCCTTCACAGCAAAAGAAGACGATAAGAGCTGCTTGCCAGGTTTCAGTCTGCCCCCCAGTTCTGCTCTGAACATCAGTCTGGATCAGATGCACCATGACAGCTTCAGCCAGGCCAACCATCACTGGGGCGGGGGGGGGGTTTGTACTTTTGTACTTCATGGGGGTTTGGTTGAGGTGGTTTTGTCTCGGGCACTGGAATTGCGTGTAATGGGCCTGATCCCAAATATTATGAAACAAAAGAACACAGGTCACATCAGTGGAAATTATTTAACGGATATCTAAAGTGCACTGCCTTCCATCCGTCCATTACTGATGATAGTGACATCGAGGTGTGAGGAAGGGCAGGGCAGGTGAGTGGTATGTGTGCCGTGACTGGCCAGCAGGGGGCCAATCAATGTGTCCGCTTTTCTCCCCATCACTGAGACTGCACTAACGAGCTTAAAATTAAATTTAGAATGCAGGATATGTGAGATGCAATTAATATTACTGTTAATCACCCACAAGTGGATGGCAAAGAGTGTGGGAATTTGCTCTAATGACAAGAAATTTGCTTAATTCCAGTCAGGTATCAGGTTATATATGAGCAACAGAAGGATATTGAGAGCTGACTGAGCTGTTCGACTTTCAGGAGGTCCAGCCCGTCTCTCATATGATCCGTGTCAGCTAAACACACGGTAAGATGCAGTTAGACAGTCCGATGGCCACAGTGTGGCCTTTATGGAGCATTTAAGTCACTTGGTGTAATCTGGAGTCCCATGCTATTGACTGGCTACTTGATGGGGGTCTGCATGGGGGGTGCGTGATGTAACCCTCTCCCAGGGATGCTAATAGGGCCCCCCACATGAAGCTGTAGCCAGGCAACGGCATGAGAATGGCCTCCTAGGCCCATTCTGTGGGACACAGTGACCCTGTGTCTGCAGCCATTCTGATGGGGGAGCTATTGTGATGGCTTTAATTACCGCCATTATGATGGGAGAGAGAGCCACGGGCAATTATCCTCCTGCTGATTATGCTACCCCCCACCCGAGTTATGGAAGTCACTCAAAAAGGCTAGATCTCTAATCACAGTTGGTCAGGGCAAACACAAAGCGGGACAGGCCTTCTGAAACACTTAAAAAATGATGAAAGAGAAAGCAATGTTCACCTCCACTCTCTGGATGTCAGTGTGGGGGTGGGTGAGGTCTAGCAGGGTACAGGGTGCTTGAGAGCAGTACGAGAAGATGAAGCACTCAACTGGACCATGAAAAGTCAGGAGGAAATGGATGTCAGGACGTAGAAGGGTCTTCAACCCCAGCTTAATTCACGGGACTCAACTATTGTATGATAGCTGGTATCCATAGCAACGAGTTGCTCAAATAATATCCATGGGGAGAAAGGGCAAAGCAAAGGAATATGTAATAAATAAGAAGAACCCTTACTGAGCATGCCACTGCCAGTTTACTGTCTTTCGACTGCGGTGCCTGTTTCAGCTGACAAAAGTCACTGTGAATCAGCTGGTTTCCATCTTTAAATGAAATCGGTCATTTCCCCACCGTGGAGATGTTCTTGCCAAAATTATGCCTTTCTTCTCACTCTGCAATGTTGGATAACCAGTCAAATTTGCCTCCTCAGGGGTGAAGATGTAAGGCTTTTAAATTCAGTCTCAAAGTTAAAAAAGAGTGATTTTGAACAACCCCCATTTCCAGGGGTCTTCAGTATCTCTGAGCTGCATTAGATACCCTGTGTATTTACATATTTCCCACCCATAATTTCCTCTCATTTGAATAGCAACAATGCCCCACCCCCCAATGTAGTGACATTTGTGGCCAACAAGGGGACTCAAAACCTTGGGGGTCCCACACAAATGCACGGTTTTGTGGTGGCAAACACTACCTCTGCCCTGTGCAGACCTCCTGAGTTCCTCCTAGTGTCATCTGTGAGTGCAAAGGCGTTGTCCTGTTTTATACCCTTTAATTAATTTCAGCCAAGTCGATTCCCCTGCTTTTTTAATTACACTTATACCAATTAAGACTCATTAACTTTAATAATATAAAAGGGTATAAACCAAGCAGAATCAGTGTGCTCAGTAAAACACAAATCACTCATAGACACACTGTCTGCTGGAGGTCTCCTAACCTTTGAAAATATTTTCTTTTCCCTTTGTTTGTCTATTTTCACAAAGGCAGTTAAAGGTGCACGATCTAGGCCGTTGTTCCCAAAATGCAAGGCCACCTACTTCCTACTCCAGCTCACAGGACACCTGGGCCTCCTCATGCAGAACAGGGAGGCAGATCTCATCTTTAAAAGCCTCCTCCATATCCCGTCAGAGCCACCAGAATGCGGAGAAGCCCATGCCGGTTCTGGAAGAGGCCTGCGAGCGAGCAGAACCACGCTGGCTTGTTTGTTTTTATGGCTCGCTCTCTATCGTTTCTATGGCATTTTAACTGCGGGGTGCCAAGCATCATGGCAATGCTGGTGCAGCCAAAGTCTCCTGGGGGTGTGTCATTTATTAGAAAAGCCACACTGCTTTATTCTGTTAAATGTCTTAGGGATTTGCAGATACTTCATTTATTGGTCTGAGAGCACACGCCCCCTGGGATTCGCATTGGGAAGCTTTAGGGTCAGGCTTAGCTGTAATGCTGCATGGTCGCTGCACGCCCACACTGTGCAGGGGCAATACTCAGCTTTCTGGGGATGTTTTCATGCTACCAGTGAAGGGGGTGGGAGCAGTGACTTGGCAGCCCCTATCCATATACCAAATTAAATAGGGGCGAATCATATCATTGTCATCAAACATTTTAATGCTTATAAATATACATGTTTCTTAAACCTCATCGGACATGTGACCAGGCTAAATGAAGCATAATACAGTCCTTTATTTATACAGATGCCAAAGTGTTTCTACAAAACTGCTCCAGCTTCTTTCATAGCAGTAAAAAAATATATACTGTGAAGGACAATAACAATAAAAAAATGCTCTTAGAAAAAAATACTGAGAACCACAGGCAGATCACCAGGAAATGGCACATGAGGATTGGATTGACTGGCACAGAGGTGGGGTAAGGGGCAGGGCTAAAACAGCAGGGTGGCAGGGTGGAGAGGGGCATCAGATCGCAAAGTCTGTGTGAGGGGTGGGGCTGAAGGCGGAGCTCCGCAGCATGTCCAGGCTGTTGACTAGGATGAGCGTGCCGGTCAAGTGCTTCCAGCGCTTGGTGATGGGGTTCTTCATTTTGTCGAGGCCAAGATGCAGCTCCTGGAGAACATCTCTGTAGCTGTCGCCGATCTGGGCTGCCCACGTCACCAGGAAGTCATAGGCTGGCTTCCACATGGCCTGGGGTGGTGGTGGGAAGAGGAGGGTGGAGGAGAAAAAAGAGGAGACGCTGGTGAGCAGCGTGGAGACCTTGACCTTGTGACATTCTGTTCCTCAAAAGCTCATGCCTGCCCATATCCATCTCACATAATTATGTTTTATTTCATGTTTTAATAAGTGATAGAGAGCAACCATCATTTATTAGCAAGGCTGGGCTGTTAGGATATCCCAGCATGCCACGGGGCATGGTTCACCTCGCTGTCCAGCTCGCCGTTCTTGTCGCGGTGGTGGGCCTCGTAGGCATCCATCTGCTGCCGGGACACACGGGACAGCCTCTCGGCCAGCTCCCGCCAACGGCCTGCCACCTCCACTGCCGTGGTCAGCAACGCAAAGTCCATGACAAGGCGGGCCACCAGCCCCTGGCAGTCCATCTTCAGCAGGGCCTGTGGGGGGAGGGGCGATGAGCGGCAAGCATCCGAAACATCACTGTCAGGCCAGTTAGTCATGCTAATGATATTACATCCTGAATCATCATCAGCTAGAACAGGTAGTCCCAGGACAGGAAGGAATTCTGCCTTCGCCGGCTGGAATGATCTGTACTGCAAGAATGTGTTCGCTTCTCTTACATCTTCAGCAGAAGGTAAGAGAATCATGTGCCAAGGTCAGCCTGGTTAATGTATCTGCTACCCCCTACTCATCACTGTCAGTGGCCTGGGGCACCATCTGTAAAGCCCACAGTGATGCCTCTGTCGCCGGGAAGAAAGCACCAGTGTAGCTGGGACAACGGAGCTCATCTCATTCAAGGATATGCAGAGAGACGAGCAGGATGGGGGCCAGCGCAGAGTAAGCCGCACGCACACACGCCCAGACATACATCCCCTGCACACTGGGATGGCAGGAAGCAGAGATTGATGACCACATGAAAAACAGTACTGGGTTAAGTTGTTGTACCCTCAACTGAAACACTCTCAGCTGTGTTAATGTGGGGGACAACTGGTTCAACATTTGAGTGTCCTGTAATATATGAGCATCTCGTGTCCTGTAACATATTAACGTCTTGTGTCCTGTAACATATTAGCATCTTGTGTCCCGTGTCCTCTAACATACGAATGTCTTGTGTCCTGTAATATATGAGCATCTCGTGTCCTGTAACATATTAACGTCTTGTGTCCTGTAACATATTAGCATCTTGTGTCC